AGCAATGGACCACTGTTCCCCTCTCACACCGATGTATCTCTCTCCTGACCTTCCTCTAAAAAACATCAATAAGTTACCGTAAAATAGTAAGTATTGTGCAATAACAGGTGCACTCATTCCTCTGTGACCCTCATCTCTGAGCCGGTGCCAATCCCCTCGCTGTGAGGGACACATGGGATCAGTCACTAAGCCGGTGAGTGACGGCAGCTAGCCGCCCAGCCGAGAAACTGCATCCTGGACACACCGTGAACGTGTGTAACCAAAACATCAGCACTACTTAGCTACAAGTCGATTATTTCTTTGTACTTGGCAAAGAAAAAGTCGCCGATTTCCTAAAAGCCCCCCTAAAAATATCAAGTTGTCCCAACGGGGTTTACATCAATTTCCCAGCAGGCTGTGCTTATTCATTCCGGCCCCTGCACGCGTGTGCCTGGTGTCTGACACACAGTAGCTGCTTAGCACGTTGCTCAGGTATCATGTAGACAGGAATAAAACAAAGTGCAGCTCCATTGTCTCCCTCTTCCTGTGACATTCATGATGACTTCTAGCATCACCCACGTGACAAATGAGAGCAGTTTTTATTCTGGGCAGTCATACCTGTATGCCGTCTCATCAAATAAAACCTCATGAGTCGAGGCCCATTCAGCCCGAAGATGAAGTGATACATTAGCTTCTTGATCGGGTGCCAGGACTGACGGAGGAATATGAAACAGACATCGATAATTACAGCTTGTTCTGGAGCTGCTGGTGTCTAACCCTCCAAGTTCAATGAACAAGTAATAACTGGACAGACACACCCTTCAGAAATTAGAGGTGGGAAAAGATTACCTCATTTCATACCTGTCACCGACGGGGCCCCTGCAGCAAGTCAGCAAGAGGCGGCCAGCCATGGTGCAGGAGGGGGGCACCAGCCTTCCAGGGTGATGCCAGTGAGGAGGCACGGGGGGGGGGGGGGGGGGGACACACACACACGGGACCTGGCCCATGAGCACCCAAGGGCCGAGGCTCCTCTTGGGTACGACCCTCCCTTCCCCTCACTCCTCTGCTCCGTGCCTCCGTAAGAAACCCGGTCTAGACATAAAAGGCACCTGTGTCTTATTTAAAAAGGGTATGCCTGCTTTCTTTAAATCTAAAAAGGGGTTGCGAATACTCTAAGGTAACTAGATGTCATTTTGTAAGCACATCTGAAAACACGGCATGCGGCATGGCCTATAACGGGCGTTCCCCTCCAAAGCCTGCAGTTACGTCCAGGGACAAGGTCGCAAAAGCTGGAGGAAGCTCCTGACGGTGCCCTGGGACTTGAAGGAATTCTAGCAACATGAACACATACCTCCCGAATCCTCACCGGGATTTGCTGGACGCGCCAAATGTTCCTAACACGAGAGCACAATGGTTTGGCTCCTTCCTAAGGCTCTTCGTGGCAAACTTGACCTATTTGCTGCCTGTCACGTGCTGGACGGGAGGCAGGAATCCCGCCCCCAGAAGCCTCTGCGCTGGTTGCAGCTGCATCACTGCCCATGTGTGGGGCTTGGTTTTCTTTCGAAGGGGAGGCGTGTGGAGGGAGGATAAAATAATAAAGACTGGAGAATGCAGCTCTGCTCATTTTATCAAAATCTACAGTGCCCCGGCCTCAGCCATGGAAAATGGGTCATGGCTTACTGTCTCAGTGAGCTACAGAGGTCAGTAATAGATACACATTCCTAAGATAATCTTTTCATAGTTCATTGACATTTCCTCAAACGTAGATTCTGCTTTCTAGCAGAAATTTTCTCACTAATTTAAATCTGAAAACCTGGAGAGATGTTCTGACTACTTCATAATAAAGATTAGGTCCTTGAAATGCAGTGTCCTGGTTTTTTAATGCCTCGGGCTTTTCAAAGTACTTAAGATCCGTTACCTCGTTAGAAGGCACACATAGCAACCTACATTGGGTTTTGGAAAAAGATTTTCGAGTACATATTTTGTCCAAATATTACTATTTGCCTCAGGAAAGTCAGAGCGAAGACTTTAGCAGAGTGTAAATTTTAAGCCAATGAATAAACAGTTGGCTTGAAAACTATTCAACTGTCATGAAAAGCATTTACTGCTCTGCCAGATCCTAAAAATAAAAGCAGCTTCTGCCCACACGGGAAAGCTTGTCTTGTTTCAGTTGGTTCTGAGCTGGACCACTAGGCTTCAAGCAATTATTTTTCCAAAATAGAGTCCAACAAACATCACGTGGCTTCCTACACTTCTTAAAAAAAAAAAAAAAGATATACAATTGGAATCTTATTTAAATATCAACCTCAGTTGTTGAAATATTTGAAAGATAACATTCTAGAAAAAGGAATCAGAGAGATCAGTAAGATTTGAAACGGGAGGTTCCACGCTGTGGCTCCAAGTTCAAATAACATTTTAATCCTGTCCTTGGCCTGCCCCTCCCTGAGCTCTTAAAAAAAAAAAAAAAAAAAAAAAAAAAAAAAAAAAAAAGTGGGTTTAAAATATGGAGCCTACGATTTATGATCAGTTGCAGAAACCTGTTTAACTGCTGATTTATAGTCCTGGCCAGGGCATTTAGCTCTGTCATCAGAACTAATTATAGCAAACCTGAGATTACACATCCAACGCTCCTGCTGGTGAAAGGAGACTGTTCAGCACATCCCCGGGCTCCCACACAGGCACGCACTCCAGCTACCCCGTCAGAGCCAGCCCGGCCGCAAATCTCAAAATTACTGCTCTTCCGCGAGCTATTTAGCCCGGAGTACTTAATAAATCAGCTACGATACTGCCATCCTGATGGCCTGAAAGTATTCATCTCAGTTAACGACTGACAGTTACACTGCTAACCTGGCTCGGGCATTCCAGGGGTAGGAAACGCAGGGGTCCGAGCCCAGGAAGTGATGTCACTGATCCAGAGAGAAGCCTTATTTTTCTGTGACCAGATGAAGGGGACGAATGCCCTCCCTTTTTAGGCAACATGTGTCCTCTAAGAACCATGTTTCCATTCTATCGCTTCAATGAGCAAAATGTCTAATTCAAATTAAAGATAACAAAGTAAATCTGGATCCAAATGACGTGCCAGCAGGGCGAACCCAAGACAACAGGTCCCTTCCTTCTCCTTAAGCCCTTCTTTCCCACCCCCACGCCACACCACCCCCTTCTGCTATACCATGCTTTGGAGCTTTTCAAATCCCAGGCCCCCACAGAGTGGGCATGGATGGCCTGTGGCTCCCCTTACTTCATGCCTCCATCACTGTGTCTGACTTTGCCATAATGCCTCCAATTCAATTCAGATGCCCCACCACGTTAGACAGTGGGGCGGGGTGACAAGGGCTGGCACTGGGACAGGTTGAGGACGGCTCCCAATCAGACACCCCAAAGCAGGCCGTCTGGCAAGGCCTCCGCATGAGCTGACGGGGAGACACGCTGCAGGGGTCGCTGCAGGGAGTGGGTGCTGCAGGGAGGGGTATGGAAGAGAACAAAGAGGCAGAGGCAGAGGCGGGGGCGGGGACATGCCCGCCTTGGAGCCCGGGGTGAGAGAAGTCTACACTAGCTCTGCCCAAGAGCACTTTAACGTTCCAGGCAAAACCACGGGACTGTGTGGCTGATTTTTTCTTAAAGGAAAGGTTCCTATGCTATGAGCTTATATTCACCTATTAGGACTTTAAAATGAGATGCTATAGGTAAGCAGTGTAAGATTGTATCTACAAAGTGCAACAGGGAATATTAAATCACAAAATGTAACATTTTCCAATATTTGGTCTTGCACACCTTTCATGATGAATTCTATAAATAGATAAACAATATCCTAAATCCTGCTTTCTCTACACAGGCTTTTCTCACCTAAGTGGAAGCAAGATGGGATTTTTGTTCTCTAAAATTGCAACTTATTCCAGAATATAGGTAAAACATTGAATATGACACCAATAAATTAGTGAAATTCTGTTACTACAATAAATCTAAAAATAACGTTAATAGAATTATGTTCCTAAATTTATACTATCAAGAAGAGGACGCTTGCAGCTCTGTATCTATCTCTACCAAGCCCGAGGAGGGAGGCCCACAACACCAGAGGCCTGCCAGACTCCCAGCCTCCAGCTGTGGTCGTGTCAACAGCTGGTCATATGGTTTCTCAAAGGCCCTTCTAGCGAGAACTCTGACCCACACATGATAAAGTCTACTTCCCATGCAACTATTCTCTGTCAGCTCATTAATGCACCATCTTTTAAGGAAAATGGGGGAGTGGAGTAAAAACAATCAAACCATGTTCTTAGAAAGTTCAAAGTTATATTGTCTTGAGTTATAACGTACTAATATAATTATACCATTTCGCTTCTAAGAATCATCTCGTAATTTAAGGAATGACATGGCTGGGCTGAGAGAGATTTAGGAAGACATTTCCAGCAAGTGCTGAATTTCAATCATCCTTCAAACACTACGTGCTGTCTTTTTTTATTGAGACATTGTATCTGAAGGTCCACTAAAACCAACCAATTGCTTTTATTATGTGACTGTCAAGTATCAACTCCACTGCACCCAATAAAGAACCAATCATTACTCTTTAAAACAGGAAGATGAAGTCATTTGTCAAGACTATCAATGGACATTTTCTTACACTTATGATGAATCCATCATAAACAAAAATGCCAATCTTGAAATGACAATTCCAGAATGAGTCCAGTTCCACTGAGAACAGGTAAGAAAGTACAAGGAGCTTAACGGCTGTGCTATACCAAACGGATGAAAAGTGAAATCGATTACCCTGCAGGTCTCTAGAAATAATAAATATAGCCGCTCTTCCCCTCTACGTGGGCTCAGACTCCTGTAATACAATCCTCCATTCCATTCACTTCAATGGGCTGAACTCTTTGGAAAAGGACTGATGATCACCCTCCAAATACTACGCTTATGTTCTCTTCCTTCTTCAGTCAACTTCCTGACATGTTTAACAGAAGCAGGAATATCAGTCTTGTGAGCAATGAAAACTCAGGAAAAGGCACGCTGTCATGAACTCTGGGAAGTTACATGTAGCCCATGTTGCTTTTGGTTTCCCATCTCTTCTTTGCTTCAAATCTAAAATGAAGAACACAAACATCTCAATTTCTTTCTAAGATATTTCACTGAAGTAACATGCTCACTAAGTGCCAAAGTAAAACAAACTTAAATGTCCACGTACTCCACTGATTACAAAACACACAGCGAACAGGATGAAGAAGCGCCTCTTCGTTTACAACCTCACAAGCATCCCGCACACGTACAAAGAACACTGCAGGCAGCAATGACACACACGCTGGGCCCAAAAAGCCTGTCCCAGGTTGTGGTCGCTTCTAGGAAGCCAGCAGCGTCACCACTAAAAGCCGTAAACTTACCCCCACGCAAGTTTCTTCTTCTTGCGAGCAGCCTGTGAATTTTCAACTTCCTTTTTGGCTTTTACAAAGTTATCGCAGGCAATCGCTTTGGCAATTTTCACACCGAGCTAAGAATTAGAAGAAAAAGAAAATGCAAAGTGAAAATAAATATTCCAGCTAATACAAGACTATAAATACTTGAGGACTCGAGGGTAAGAAAGCTAGGCCCAGAAATGAAAAATTCATATGCTCTGGACTCCTTGAACAACCAAACTGTAGGGCTACACTGATGTGGCCCTCTACCTCCCTCCGACCCCTCATTGGGTGGAAATGCTTCCCAAACGGAGGCCCCTCGAGGGCCCACAGAGGTTGTGGTGAGAATCTGCAGCGATCTCAGCAAAAAGGAGGCCAAACACTTATTCCGATGAGACTGCAAACTGACAGACACCACGTTTCTTCGCTAAGGGCCAGAATTACAGCCACGCGGTATGGTCACACCAGGTAGCTCATGCTGATCAGCTGCTCTGACTGGCAGTCACAGATGTCATTTCCCATAAAACCTGGGAAAGCTAATGACCCACGGGTATGAGGGGCAACAGCTTTTAATTCACAGACAGGCGAGAAGGCGGAGCACCAGGACCACAGGTGCTATGATCCTCCCTCTGCTGGTCCCTCAATTCATACTCCTCCTCACACCCATCTGCCAGACCTATGAGGTCTAACCAAAAGAAACCTCCTGCCTGGCTGGCTTGGCTCAGTCACTGAGCCTCGACCTAACAACCAGAGGTCACTGCTGGATTCCCGGTCAGGGCACATGCCTGGGTTGCAGGCTCGATTCACAGTAGGGTCCTGCAGGAGGCAGTCGATCAACAATTCTCTCATCGTTTAAGTTCCTCTCTCTCTCTCTCTCTCCCCCTCATCCTTCCTCTCGGAAATCAATAACAAAATATACATTTTTTTAAAAAGAAACCTGCCGAAACTGGTTTGGCTCAATAGATAGTGTGTCAGCCTGCGGACTGAAAGGTCCCGGGTTTGATTCCGCTCAAGGGCATGTACCTTGGTTGCGGGCACATCCCCAGTGGGTGGTGTGCAAGAGGCAGCTGATTGATGATTCTCTCTCATCGATGTTTCTAACTCTATCCCTCTCCCTTCCGCTCTGTAAAAAAAATCAATAAAATATACTCCTCTCCCTCTTGTCTTCTCTAATTCGGCACCAGTCTTTGCTTCTGCCGCTCCAGCTCCTCGGCTTCTACTGGCACCACACCGCTTTGCCAGCTCGGCGGCAGGGCTGTCAGGAGTGTCTCAGGACGAGCATGGGATCCAGGCTGAGCGGTCAGAGCTAACAGAGCCTGTCTATGTGGACGCCTCCAAAGCGTCCGTAAGAACCTGGCTAAACAGCAAAGCCAGACTTCTGGTGTTTCCTCCTTTCCCATCCCGGTACTCCACGACCTGTGCCCATCAGTGGCAGCAGCAGGCGTAGGCAAGAGCAGAAAGGACTGCCCGCCGCTTAAAGTCAGCTAGTGAAGCCCACGTGTTAGTGACCTGTTTGCCAACAATGAGCCTCAGGAGGTGGGAGGTGGCTGAGAGCACATGTGTAAGGAGAGGCCGGTTAGCACTGCGGTCCGGCAGGCCTGACATTTCTTCCAGCTGATCCTGGAAAGTTTCTTTGGGTGAAACGAAGGAGGAGGAATCAAGCCTGCCTGGGGTTTCTAAATCAGAGCCAAACCAGAGCTGATCTTTCAGCTGAGGAAAGTCCACAGGAACCAACAGAAGCAACCTGGCAGGTGTGGAAATGGTCACACCAACAGGAAGGTCCGCGGAGAAAAGAAGATGGAGTGAGACTTGAGAGTACGCGGGAGCAGGCAGGCTAGTTTCTTCTCAAAATTCAAGCCAACACTAGCAGCACCACACCTGCCATCACCCCATCTCACAAGGCTGGCATGCATCTGACAATTATAAGGGCACAAATGCATTATTCTGCCGGGCACTGTTCTAGGCACAGGACTGCAGCCCTGGGCAAAGGGCTCATTTCAAACTGGGGGCTGGGAGAGGGGTTGCCAGGGACACTGCTTCAGGACTGGGTGATTCTCTTTTCACTTTCAGTTCTTTATCAGAGAAAAGTTCATCTAAGTCAACTGGCGAAGGCTAAGAATCCCGAAGAGGAAGGAAGCTATGGAGGATGCCGGGGGATGCCCATCAGGATTTCCTGGCCACTGAGAAACTGCCCATTTAGCACAGTGAGAAACCAGGTGCGAGCCTCCATCAGGTTAGGCTAGTCAAGGCTGCAGTACCAAACGAATCCCCCTCACTGGCTGAACTCTGCTTTCTTGTTTCACTCAAGTCAGCAGACGAGCAGGGCTCTCCTCCCCCGGGTGGTGCCAGCGACTCAGCACGTGGCTTCCGAGCCGAGGTCACGGTGGCAGAGGAAGAGCCGGCCAGAGGGGCTCCCCCCAAAGCTTTTCCTCTCTATTACGTCCAGAAGTGACACACGTCATTTCTGCTCCCAGGCCTCTGGTCAGAGCTGCGCATACGGTTCCACCTACGCAAGGCGTCCAGGAGGGCAGGAGGGCAGTGAGTGCATCAGTGACAGCCGCCGCCTGTGACCGAGAGCACTCTGGGCAATCCCCGTGAGTGTTCAGTCTCTTCCCTGCCCCACTTCCAAAGGGCAAAACCCAGAACTCCGTATTTGTCTACTCACCTAAATTCCTATGCATTACATATCAAACACAAATTCTGCCAAATAAACTCCCCCACCAAAGTACCACTCAGCTAGTTCATCTTGTATTGAGACTGAGCTTATACTTTTTGAGTATGAGATAAAAATGACCCAAAACATATTTGCCATGTACTTTTAACCGTGTGCCCAAGTTATTTTCTAAAACTTAAATCAATTTTCTGTCATTCATATGCTTACAATAAACGTTTCGCTTATTCCTGGGGAGAGTATGAGGAGTGAGACTATTTGGACATGCGGAAGAATAAAAAAATCTTCTGTGGAAGAGTGTTGAGAGCAGCATGTTTCCCAGGCAGGGTGACTAACCCGGGCTCCAGAAGAGAAGAGAAGATGGTGCTATGTTTCAGTATTACAAACAAATGATACAGGCCAACCAGAATCCCCCTTCACGCCTGAAAAAGGGAAAATGCATCTTCATACCCAAGTAAACATCACAAAAGCCTGGTCAATAGTTTTTATATTAAAAAACTGCTTCGGCTCATCAGATAACTATAGCAACACAATGTGGGAAGAAAAATTCTTTTAATGAATAAAAATATATACAGAATTTCTTGTATGTGTAGCTGAAGTATCAGCATTTTCCATATAGAACATCCAATATTTTGCTGCATTTTAATTAAGGTGTCTAAACATTATCACAAAGAACTGCAAATTGGTCAGAGCAAGCGGTAAGGAAAATTAAGCTCTAAAGGCTTTTTATCACCATATTTCAGGAACCAAGGGTGTAAAATGTTCTAATTTGGGATATATTAAAAGCCATAAAAGGTCTTTCAAAAAGATTAATGGTACTTTGCTTGGATTTAAGATAAGGGCTTTAGCTGGTTGGAAAAGCAGGGCCCTGGCTGGACCCTTGAGGCATTCATCTTTACAGCCACTTGGAAGATTTGTAAAAGCGTCTGCATAACCTCAAGCAAATGCTCCGCGACATTTTTTTAATTCCTTTCAATTTTACAGGTTTAGCATGTGTAAATCATACTGGGTTGTAAAACAGATATAATGGCACATCTTGTAACATAGTAGGGATTTTTAAAAGACAAACTTTCAAAATCGGGTTAGTTTTTCTTGCTAAACCTTGCCATTCTGGAGTTTGCTGATAATCATTTGAAGCATCTGATTCAAACAGCTTAATCTAACACAACTGTAAAAACTTCTTATCCGTTCCATAAAATATTTTCCTCATCTCAAAATTACTAGCCTGTAACAGATTTATAAAGTTTTCCTCCCTTTTGAGTACTTTCAAGGCACTTATTTAAAAATACCAATTATCATACTTTAACTTTTTATGAAATAATAGGTCTCTATGAAAAATATTTATGCCGTTCTCTTTTGTTCTTTAATTAAATGAAAACAGATGTTTTCTGAAGTAAAGCGGAACCATTACTGGAGTACTTAAAGTGTCAAGGTCTTTAATTTTTATATCAGTTTGGTCGACAATTCCTGATTGTCTTTACTCAAGCTCAACATTAATGTCAAGCAAGTTACCTAGGAGACGAAAGAGATCAAAGAGACAAAAACCCCTCCAATGTCTGATTAATCAAGTCTGCAAACAGCTTATTTCTTTTAGCCTGCATGCAAGTATGAAAATGAGATTCTGGGAGCCGAACACTGTGCAGATTTGTTCATTCTTATCAGAACAAAGCCAGCGGCAGCTTATTTCATGGATCATTGGCACTGTCATCAGCGCGACACAGAGCGGGTGACAGCTCCTCATTTTGAGGCTTGAACAAAATTAGCAAAAAGTCGGCACAAATTAGCCTCTCATCTTTTTGGTAATATGACATTATTCATTTACTTTTTATCCAATTTTTAATTTTTTCCTTGTCAGCTATCCCTTTCTAGTCTCTTCCATGACACCCTAAAATGCCGCCTTATAAACAAGCAAAGAAACTGCCAAAGTTGAAATAACATGCAAAGTTCAAAAAGCAAATAAGGGGGGAAAGCACTTCCAATGATTTATAACGCTGTATTTTTTTATATAGCTTTCAAAACTTTGCACTAATATTGATAAACAGCTCAGAATGCCACGCAGTTAAAGAGTTTTATAAAACTGGTAGTTTATTTCAATAAAGACGGCGGCGTGGCTAATTAAATATGGTGAGTGCTTTGGTAAATTCCGATGTCTGCATCGGGATCCGTGCCGTCCTCTCCAGGGTCATACCTGGGATGCTGGAGCTCTGATGATAGCACACAAGCTCCACCATAGCGAGTCATTTACACTCAGACTTTAAATCAAATCATTTCCTCTCTATTACAGAAAACAGCCTCATTGCATTGTCATCTAAAACTGTGCATGCACAGCTTTGCAAGTTTGTGTACCACCTCTATGTGCATGTGCAACTGCACAAACACCTATTATTTAATACCTACACCTTCATATTAATTAAACCCAAATGG